GAAGTATAAGAATTCCCAAAAAAGGGTTAAAAAAAAAAAAAAAAAAAAAACAAAAACCAAACAAAAAAGTTAAAATCCAGTAACACCACTGCAAGGAGATGTACTTGACCTTTCAAACTCCTCTCTATCAACGTTCTCGTACAATCTTTAGTTACAGGAGCTCAATAAGCAAATTGGAAAATATCAGGAGGCCAGAGAGACCTTAACAATTAGAGAAAATGCAGTGGGTGTGTTGGTGTGAACACGTGCCAAACAGAACACGAGCTAGGAGTATCATGCAAGCTGCAAGTAACAAGGCTAGCACATTCATCGGTCTAGACTTGGCATGATCACAAGGGAAGTTCTCATCAGAACAATGAACCAAGTTCCACCTAGCTCATTTGACAAGTTACAAGCTAAATAGATCCTCTCAAAACTGTGAAATGCTCATGCTCGTCCACAGCCCACGATTGCTTCATTTTTAAAAGGACCTTTGCAAAAGCATGCATTTCTCAAAGTGACTTATTCTTTTGCTAAACCAATCCTTTAAACACCATTTCCTCACAACTGAACAGTGTCTGCTGTCCTAGGCTCCAGTTAAAGATTTGCTATCCCTCAGAACCAGGCACGTGATCTTTAGACAGTAAGAGCAGTTTAGATGCCTAAACTAGGTGGCTAGTTTAGATGTTCACTGGAAGTTGTATCAACACACACACCCCAAAAAATTTAAAAAAAATATGTATCAAGCTGTGAATAGCACAATAAACGTTTATGCCTTAACCTTTCAAGCAAACTTCTTAACAACTGTAGGAGATTCTACTGAACTGGAATAACTGAACCAAAACCAGATGGATGTTTTTGCCCCATATACAGACACTGGGCCAGCAGGTGCCAGCTAACTCTCAGCAGAATCTGTAGATGGAAAAGGCGGGAAGGAAAGTCCCCGCAGGCTGTCGAGTGAGTTTCCGCGTCTTTTCAAAGTTGGACCGAACTTCAAGGAAATGAAAGCAACGGCAGCTGCCTCCCCCTTCATCTTGCCACTTGCAGTGTCAGCGCGGGTAGTGCTGAAACCACGGGCTCACGAGAACAGGCAGAGCTCTGTGCAAGCTTGCGGTAGCGGTGCATGGGGCTGTTCATAAGCTGACACTGGAACAAAGCTGCAGGTTGTCTGCACAGATCACCTGGTCCCGTGCTCTCCAAAGCGGTTAAGAATACAGGGACAGATCTTTGAATCTGATAGAATTGCTTTCTATCAATTTCTAGATTCAAATGGGTTCCAGTTTTATTTCTTTATCTGTAAACATTACAAATCTGTTTTCTCTCACGATTTTTTCCTGGTTCAGAAATGAAGAAAGTTCAACACATCAAGGCTAACACATCACAGGAAAACCGCCATACGCCTCTGCAGGGGTGTAGATTATGTGGTCAGTGTGAGTTACTTCTGTTCTTTATGTGGCGTGACTTTAAAAGAAAAAAAAACGTGGAGGGTAAAGAATATTTCATCCCCACAACCTAATGCCAGTACAAAATTTACCTCCCAAAAGTCTGTGAAAAACCTTGCCCTTGTTTGACAAGTTTTACTCTACGAACATAAATTATCATTGGCAAAGCGAGTATCTCAACTAAATAGGTCTGGAAAACTCGATGTTTGTACACATGATGAAACTAGCAAATAATAGATAATCTCAGTGTAGGAGGCCTAGCCAGAATAATCAAAGGTCACATTTGCACACAGCAAGAGCTGTGTTAGCACAGCGGAGCAGAGAAGGTTGCTTAGTACTTCACCTGTGACAGCAGGCAGGAAAACATTCTGTGTGTAAAATATTCAGACCTAAAGTTCACCCAGAAAAGAACTTTGGACTCCTGAGTCAGATGCTGCTGGGCACGGGGCTAACAAGCACGTACTCCCAGGAAAAGAGGAAAAAAGCTCAGAGCTGTACTGGGAAGGTCACCTCGTTGCCAGCACGCTCAACTGTGTGAAAATTCAGCAAGGTAATCATGGCTGAAGTCCAAAAAGTAAATCAGAAGTGAGCAGTAATTTTTAATGACTATTTATGTTCCCACACAAGAAGTCACAAGAGAACTGCGTTTTAATCATAATTCAGCCACAAATGGCCTGCTGGAAAATGGCTTAAATCTATTCTGTTTCTCAGGTACTATCTAATCTGGAATGATTATGGCAAAGAGAGTCATTGTATACCTGTTCTCTTTCATCTTCATATCAACATTCTTTAGCTGAAAAATGCGTTTTCCTACATTTCTAGCACAGAAGGCTTCGCAAAGATTCAAACCACAGTGTCACTTCTGTGAATTCAGAACATACCAGCGATAGAATTGCCTGGGAATTAAACCAGCAAAACACTTAACCAGAATCTTATACCACAAAAAAACCAAACCCCAAACTACCTGCTTTTTTTTTTTTTTTTTTTTTCTTCTTCTTGTTTTCGCCCCTCTTAAGTGTGCTACTAAACAGAACCCCTGGGTTTTTTCCCATTTTGGAGCCTCATACAGCATCTAAGCTATCTAAATAGGAATATATAAAGCATTAGTAACACTAGAAAGAGGTTTCCAAGGGTTTGAGGTGTAGGTGCTAAGTAGACCATGATCTTTACTCACAGGTAGAGCCACAACTTTCGCTCCTTTAGCTGATGCTTCCCTCACCAGTCCACAGGCTCGTTGAAGGTTATCTGATTTAACAGCAGATACATGAAGCTGAATAAGAGCCAGGCGGAAGTCTAATGGCAGAAAAGAAAAAAAAAAAAAATAGTCAGCAGAATTCCCCCAGGAAAAGCTCTTCAAAATTTGAATTCTCTAACAAGCATTTAACAAAATAAATTTGCTTATACATTAGCATATACACAAACCACTTCCAACTCATTTAGCTGTCTGCCTATGACTCTGGAAACAGTCTCTCAGCACAGACAGGACACTGAAACCTAGGCTTGCTAATGGGAACAATACATCACCATCACCCTGCTCAGGGTGAAGATCACAGTGCTCGCGTGCCACTAACCCTTAGCCTAGGCAGTACCCAGCCCAAGTTCTGAAGTAAGATACCGTGTGACAGAAAGGGAGACCACGAGTCACCTAGACCTGCTTCTTCCTTCCTGGTTTGCTACACGCTTTGTGAGCCCATCCTTTCGTTGCACCCGTAGCCAGATGAGCACTGCACGCCCTGAAGTACCACAAGCAAACTGAAGGACTGGATAATCCCAAAAGCACCAAACATGGGAATAATAGTTTGCTTTTATCCCTCAAATCACACCTAGTCTGGGAAATGGCCATAAAACCCAATAAAGGTAACATCTGTCCTGATCATTTCTTTTCACTTTGGTTTCTAGCCAAGAGACAGATGCAAGTGTTATCAGCACCGTCTCTACTGCGGCTAAGCAGGATTTATTATTTGCAGGCTCTTGAAGTACACAAGTAGAAGAGATCAAGTTTTGTGCACACGCCTTGGACTTCCTTCCATGAATCTTCCCGTGCCTTGGGCTGTGGGAAAACACATCCTGATCAGGTAGAACTGTCTCCTTTTTAAAAAAAAAAAAAAAAACCAAACAAAAAACCAAACAAATGCCCTGACTTCATAAAGAAAAGTACCCCTGTTTCAAAGCACCTCTCTTCTCTGGGAAACTCCCCCATCATACTGTCAAAGATCGCTACAGGATAAAGAAAAAGCTGCAGGCAACACAGCCTCAGTGGTCAGGGGAGCAGGAAGAACTGATTCAAGTGAAGATGAGATTGGGTCAGGAACAGTTAGGCAGAATATCTTTCCTCCCTCTTTAGTTTTCTCACTTCAGTAGCTAAGCAGCTCATTTCTTGAAGTTAAGCAAATGATTAACCGCTCACTTTGCCACTCTTCATGTGAGAGACTCTTTAATATTTGGTTTATTGAGTAAACAAAGCTTCACTGAGATTCTGAACAGATGTCTAACATAGTTAGCTTCCAGACCCACCTAGGTAACCACACTAGGAATCTGTCTACAACTTTCCTGTATTTGTGGAATGTCCCAGAGAAACTGAACACAAGGATTTACACATGCACTTGCGCCCACGGTTTTGTTTAAGAACACTGAGATGTAGAAGCAACAGAAATAGAGAGGAACTCGCAACAGTGCTGTAGAGGCCCAAGATCTCTTCTTCCAGCCTCGCCAAGTTGCCTCAAAAACATCTCTCAAAGCAATTCCAGCCTCCAGCAATGCAAGGCGCCACCAGGTACAAGTGCATCAGGATGAAATAGTGGTTCATATTTATATCACTACGAAGCATGCTTTTTTGGAAAACGCCAGAAGCCAAGCAGGTCTGGTGTGTTCCGACTGAATTCCTCGGCAAGCTGACCATCGAGGCAGGAAGGAGAGATGCACGGGCAAGTGGTTTCCACCAGCCTAGGAAAGCCAAGAGCGCCCAAGGCAGCTCTCTCTGGTACCTGCGGTATTTCACACCCCTCCACAGGCTCAGAGGCCTTTCCAGCCCGGAGGAGGACTGGGGACTCCGGGGGACACCGGCGGGGGGGGGTCTAAAGTGCTTCCTGGGTGCTCAGAGTGGTGGTGTCTGCAATAATGCATGTTGGCAATGTATAGCATGGACAACAGAGTTTAATGCAGGTGTATGTGACAAAAAGTGCTGGAAGAAAAATGTTGACTGCTGCTTTAACTTTTTTTTTTTACAGAGAATCCACAGAATTCTTTGAACTTGTGCACATTTTCAGTTCAATTAATTTTTTTATAGTTGTGTCATAAACCCCAGGAAAAAATTTACTACGGAAATCCTTCCAGACATGTTAAGTTTTATCTTGGGCAAGATAATTGCTGTTGGACAATTTTGACACGTTACACTGTAATGGCTTACTGAATTTGACACTGCTGTTTTTACCATCAACCACAATTCATTGTTTTGAGACAAGAATGCTGTTATATAGCCGTTTGGAAAAGACCTCCCCCCCCCCCCCCCCCCCCCCCCCCTCAAGTTTTGCTGCCGCAGCCTGAGGGAGCGGCGCAGGAAGCAGCAGGGGGAGGACTTACCCCAAGCCCAAACCGCTGCTGAGCCTTTTCCCCTGCCCAACCCCAGTTGCTTAGGTGCCGACACCGCCCTTTCCCCAGCCCCCTGCGCCCCGTTACCAGCCTTGTATTTGTTAACAGGGCTGGTCCCCGGGGATCGGTACCAGCTTACAGGTAGCTCATGCACCTGGCAGAGCCCCATCGCCACCTTCTGCTACGAGAACAGCATTTTCTAGGGTAGAAACCAATACGCGCACTTGCCTTGCTGTTTTTATTACCAGCTTTAAACGCCGAGTGCTCCCTGTTACTCAACACGCTGCCTCGTGTACCTGTTACAACCCTGGGCTTTTCGCAAGCACGGTTGTAGAACCACAAGCTCGCGTGGTTTAGCGGCTGGCATCCCTTGCACAGTGTTTCTCATGCAAGAGTATCTCTGCAGGATGACGGGAGAAGGGGCAAAGCTAAAACAAAGTGGGTAACCCAGGGCGCTCCATCTCTGAGACGTGTTGGGCTGAAGCCACTTTCACTCAGCACACGTTTCCTGATCGAGGATGGGTATTGCACAACCACCATAAAATGGGCAACCAGCACGGCCTGCAGCAGTTAAAAACCTTCCTTCAAGACAGAAACTGTTCAATCTGCCCCTTGGAGCAGTAAAGGGAACAGCTCATCCCAAACTGAGCAAGCCAAAGGATGGCAGAATTACCAACAGTGTACAACTGCAGATGAGGAGGGGATGCAGCAGTTCTTTGGCAGAGCTCCCTCCCTTTTACATGTGCCCATAAAAGTAGAAACAGCATATATGAACTTTTTTTTTTTTTTTTGGAACAGCCCACCTTGCAGGGCTCCAGGTGCAAAGAACAGCTGTCTCCTGAGTTCACATGAGGTTTGGGGTAGAGCCCAAGACAATAAAGAAATAAGCAATGAAGCAGTATCATCCTTTCAAGGTGAAAAGCCACAAGGCTAAAAATCCCGTTTCCCATGGTTCAGAGAGATACAGTGTATTTTTCAAGTTTCAAAACAGTATCCGAAAGCACTAAATACACTCAAAAGAACAAGTTGCATACTACCACCCCCCTCCTTCCCAAAAAGGAAAAACTTTTCAGCCATTCAGTAGACTACCCCTATATTGAAAAGGTTGACAGTATCAAAAGTTTTGAAACTACAACTAAAATGCAGTTGGAAGCAAAAGCTACAAACACGGCTGAGATCTAGGTGGAAGGCCTAATAGGAACTAAACTGAAAGAGCAGCAATTAATCTTTACTTACATATGGAGAAGGCAATGTAATAAAAACTGCATCTCCACAGTCAGAGTATTTTTGATGGACAGTACTTGTGAAGTTCTGTACAAATTCTCACACAGAAGCACTGACCCTGGCTGTTAAACACAAAGGTAAGAGCTTCCATTTGGCAGGAGAGCTTACTCTGAAAAGTGTTTCTTTCTTCCTACAGACCTCATTTCTCTCACCAAAATAAAGAAAAACAAAAATTAAAGCCCCTGCAACATAGAAGCTGTCATCTTATATTCAGCTATACAGACAGCAGTGCATGCAAACAAAACAAGAGCCTGCAAACCTCTGGCATCTAATTTAAAAAAAAAAAATCCTTGAAGATGAAAGGGACTAGTAGCAGCATACTATTTTGATTTTTCTTTTCAAGAAATGTCTCTCCAGTACCATAACCGGAATTTCTGCTTAGCAATACAAATTTTGTAGCAAACACACTAACTACAGATACTTATGCCATGAGGCAAAAGTAGCCTTTAAATTGTGGGTAGGGGTGCATAAAACACCATTGAAATTATACACAGTTTGGACTGAGCTTTCCAAGATAAGGAATCTGCTGATAATTTGCAGATTGCCTTAAAAATTACAAACAATTAACCTCTTAATGGCTTGGATTATACATTTCTACACATAAGGGACTTAAGAACATACTGTAGCTTTACTTACTGTAGATCTAAAAGGTCTGTATTTGTTGTCCTCATAGAGAAGCACACACACTACCCACTTTCCATATTTAATGCCCAAATACACCTGTTTAACAGTGTGCTTTTCACTACAAGTAGATTCATCAAGATACCACTTTAAGTACTTCAGCAACACATAAAATAACTATTTCCCAATTCCGCCCAAATCATCTTCACAATTCTTTCCCCCCAATAGCTAGCAGAAACATGTTGTGTCATTTTGTCAGAATTTTCATAATGTAAAAATATGATGCTAAGTCTGGAATTTATGCAGAGACCCTCTCTATAATTTGACCACTTGTTAACACATTTTGACCTTTCTATGAATGCTTGCCATGACTCACCCAAAAGAATTTAATGAAATTACTCTTAAGTTCCAACATACTTACATTACGAGGTCACCGACAGTAGCTCCCTACGATCCATAATCAACTTCTTTCACTCCAAAGATCAAATTCACTTCCCTTTACAAAATACCTTTAGGAAAAACTGTTAATTGAGTCAGAGAATTCACACAGCATGCAACTAAATGCTTTCTGACAGAACGAGTTATGTTCAAATTGTACTGGTTTATTTACAACTGTAGTTTATAAACAGTAACACAAACATCTTTACATGAAAAAAATCTCATTGCTAAAGTAGGCACAGAGTCAGAGACTCTTCAGGATATTTTCAGAAGGGAGTAGGAAGAGGAAAATGTAATACAACAGCTGCTGGGCAAAACTATAAATACATGAGCATTGGCCCAGGTGCAATTTCATGCAAATATCTTCAACAGTTCAAGTTCTATTGGTGTTTACTCAGATACTAAGAAGAAAAAAAAAAAAAAAATTAGTTCCAGAATTAAGGTGCCCTAGCTTGATTCCTAGTAAAACAGCTTAGAATAACTGTTTTTTATAAAGGTCAGTTTAATTTATTTTACCTCCTGATAATTCAAATTTGATTCAAATACTCAGAAGACTTCACGCAGCAAAGCTAATCCCTATTATCTTTATTTCACAGTTTTTGGTAATTTCTACATCAGTCTACAAAGATGCTACTCCTCAGCCATAAGGACATTCCTGTACCGAGCTTTTAACAAGAGAACCATTCTTGGAACAAGTGGAAAGCTGCTGATAAACAATCACATAGTTGCCATCTCTCAAACATGAACTAATTAGAAGATGTTAGTTAAAAGCACATAAACAAATGCTTGAATCGATGAAGGCAACAGGTAATGAATACATTTATCACTTGAACCTCTTCACTTTGTTTGCATGCATTAATTTTCTTGCTGAACACACCTCCAATCAGCACATACTGACTTCCGTGCTAAACTGAAGGTTTTTAAAGGTCTAATTATTATCTCAGACACTTTGTTTCTGAGGAGCAAGGTAACTTGTTTTCAACTATCATATTCTGTCATGAAACATTACCTTCAATTTCAATGCACACACTCATCTTTACAAGAGAAACAGCCTCAACCTATGAAATGTAAAATTTTGCATAATTAAAAGATTACAACCCTGTAGTAAAAGCTTATTTTGCACAGTTTGTTTTGATATTTAAAAATACTCTTACCAGCCATTCCAATTATTTAACCTAGTAGTGGGTAAGACTTTTAAAAAAGTTAATTTTACAAATTCCTTGTATTTTTTTTCCATTTATCTGCAGCCCAACCTGAACTTAATTTTTAGTGAGAAGGAACCAGTATTTCTAAGATTTTTTTATCTGCTCTGCTCACTAACCTACTTTTTTGATCAGTCCTCGATACTACCCACTAGGCAAGGTCAGATTTATAGACTGTAGGCAATGGAGACATTTTACTTGCCAGGGACAGCAATTTAAAATGCATTCTGTTTTCAACTGCTTCTCCATATCTGGCAGTGCTTCATTCCTTTAACACACCTAATGTGTAACCAGCTGCATCGTCTCTTGCAAATATGCAGATCGCTCACATTAAGGCTGCATTAAAAAATAAAACAAACTGACCTTTATAATAAACATTTCTTCAAAAGAAAACAAACAAAAAAATAGAATTAAAAAAATTAAAAATCCTGTTCAGAAATTGATAATAATTTACCCTATCTTAAGCCTGCTACTCAGGCACTCCCATCAGCAAACGGAAAAATTCTCTTAAGTTAGTATTCAGTTGGGAAACAGTCAGCTTGTGTCCACATACAGTATCTTGGTTTCTTCTTCTTTGTAAACTGTTCTCTACAAAGTCTTTAGTTATTAACTCTCCAAGGCATCCAATACTTTCATGATCTGTTGTTTTATGGCTTTGGTAGCATCACCTGCATTTGGGATCAAATACCTAAAAAAAAAGATTAGAAAAAGCCATCATTAATTCACTATAAAATTTTTTGAGTATCAATTCCATAATTCTTGTTTAGTTTTTATCCTCTGGCACAAACTACGAGAAAGGAGGAGGGGAATACAATAAAATGAAAAACTACCGAGAAATAACGTTTATTTCCTGTTTATACCATGAAATGCTTTCCATTTGTGAAGTTAGAACTGTTAAGGTGAACTCATGGACCATCCTGGAAAGGAAAAGTTCATTAATTGGCAATAGTCTAGATCAGGCAGTTCAAGATCTCTACAGATAGCACTGTCAGACTGAAGCATGGCAGCCCTCCTGTTTTTGGTTTTTTTTTTGGTTTTTTTTTGTTTTTTTAAATTCCTATAGATACCTCTAGATAATTTATTTACAATCCTTTCTCTTCTGGATTTGCTCCAGTCAATACAGTGGTGATGAAGTAATTCAACAAGCAGCAAAGTTCTCTCCAACATTTTAATTTATCTTTGTCTCACCTACTATCAAATTAATTTCATTCTAAGCAGCCAACAGGCATAGAACAGCTTCCCAAGTTAGCTAGAAAACTCATCTTCCGTTTCTTGTGAAAACAGACCACCCACTGCATACAGTTCTCCCCAGTGAAGAGGACAAGGAAACGCCCAACTGATACCAGCAACTTTGTTAAAACAGTGCCAAGAAACAACAGGCTACATCAGCCCAATACACCCAGCCCGCTGACTCTCTCCCCCTCTTAAGCACACAAATGCTGAGCATGGCAATACCAAACTTCCAGGAACCAGGGTGCAGAGTTTTGAGGTTCGGCTTCTAGACTCCTTGTACAACATGTAGGAAGAGTTAGATGTCTCAAAAAAGATACCACACAAGAAAGACCACTCTCTTAAATTTTACTCTTCACAAATCCATTCTTGAGGATAAAGATAGTTGTCTACTTCATTTTCATTTAAGACTTATTACAAAAAGAAAACACTTGCACACATCTCATCCCCATCAGCTGTCATTGCAGACCACGGAGTTCCTCTCTGCTGGGTCTTGTAAACTCTCCTCATTCTGCTGGCAGATCTTTTTTCTAGTTCATATCTGAATTATCTATTCCTAAATTAAAACTATTACTTTTTAACTCAATTCTGGGAATTACTGCATGGCCCTGATTTCCAATTGACAGCACTCTGTGTATCATTATTACTTACATCTCTGCTACTGAGATGGCTTACCTTTCAACTGCCAAAATTTCTATGCCTGAAGTATTGCTATTTCCATATTTAAAGGTGATCAGTTCTGGGTGTTTCTTCTTGGATGTGATTTTGACTACGGAGTTGAGTGCCTGTCGGGACTGTATGTAAGCCAGTCCCTTTCGTGACGGAATCTCTCTCAAACAGTACATATGAGTTGCTGTTACCAGGAGATGACTTGAAGGAAAACAAAAATGCAAATTAAATTTGCTAATTAACTAAGTATCAGCTATGTAGAAAGCTAAATTCTACAATTAAGATGCATGGAGAGAGCTAGGTAAAGCAGTTCCCAAATCTAAGAAACAGTTTTAATACTTTTACAATCTGTAATTTAGAAAGGTCTACAAAATAGGGATTTTCCTTGAGTGCTGTATCACAGTCATTTTTGAAAACAAGCATGGTGTCCCCAACAGTGTGCAAAAACAGAGTGAGCAGTTAACACCATCACCTCAACACAACAGCCGCGAGTGCTGTCAACAAAGATCACAACCACGTGTCAGGCCACGCACAGAGTAGGGAAAATGCCACCAGCCTGTCTCTCTCTTTCATCCTTCAATCATACCCCAAACCCATCCCTCCATCTATAGAACGGCAACTCTACATGTGGAGCATCAGACATTAAGACATTAGAAGTACATGCTGGCACTCCATGATTGTCAATCACTGTACAAGCACCAATGTGGAGATGCTGACCTGCCAGCTCTGTTCAAGATGCACTTTTGCCTTCTTCATGGAAGGAATGCATGTTCAACTAGTGGTGGGAACACACTAGTTGCATTCCAACTTGGTTTGAGAAATTATGACAGATTACTAATCATATTACACCATATAAAACAAATCTAATGGGAAAATAAAATTAGTAATAAAATACAAGAACAGACCATGATGCAAGAGAAAGCCCATCATAATTTTCTGTTATGCTGATTCAACATTTGTACTCTGGGGAAGCCAAAACACAGTATCACATTCTGCTCTTGCAGGATTAACCTGGTTACTGAATCTAAGGGGCAAGATGGGTGCGTAGTACAAGGCACAGAGACAAGTAGACAAGAAAAATCAGAGCCACGGGTACTTGGGTCTACCTGGTCTTGAAAAATAAGCCTGAGAATATTTTTCTTACTATCTTGTTTTGCAAAGCAAAACTTCATACTAGATTTTGTGTATAATTACCATTATACTACCCTGCAAATATAAGAATGTAAATACAGTGGTAACATTTTGTTCTAGGTAGTTTTGCACCTTCCTTTCCTACTTTAATATCAAGAATAATTTAATTGTACAGTATTTTTTTTAAGATGGGTAATAAGACAGACATTTTCATTAAGCTTAGGACTAATTCCAGTACCTGGGAAACATATGTCCATTTTCTTTCACTTCATTACATGGGAAGTTATACTTCACATCGGGTTTATTTATCCACGTTTGGATGTTGACGACCTCTTTTCGATCATCATCTGACATTGAGGAGCTATCAATTTCATCTATTTTGAAGGAAGGAGATAAAAAATTTAAAAAAAAGAAAGGAAAATATTTTCACACAAACATCAGGCAACTTTTCAACTCATTTAAATGCATAGTAGCTACACTGGTTCAAACCAAGCTCCACCTAGCCCCCAAGAATGTCCATAAACAATTGTTCAGAGGGAAGAAAGAAAGAGGCATGCATATCTGATACTTCTCTTTTAATTCTCTCTCAGCAGACAACTATTTTCAGCTCAGGGGATTTCTTAGGCTTGTCCATTTGGTAAAGTTTAATAGATCTCTTTTACATGGACTTGTCCAGACTTTCCCTGAAGCCACGTAAATTTTTGCATCTACAACACCAGTATCTTTTGGCAAGGAGTACCAAAAACGTGTCAACTGCATTCCAGGAAAGCCTCCTCTTGTAGCTTCTAGTTTCTTGTACAAGACAAAATAAACAACTGTTGATACCTTTCTAGGCCAGGCATTATTTTTGTGGGCCAGTTTTCCTCCCTTAAATTCCCTATTTCATGTAACAGAGTTTCTAATATTCGGTTATGCCTCTTGTGAAAGCCATCTTACACCTTTCCTAACCCTTCTTACCCCTGTCTGAGCCTTCTGTTCAAACATACTGTTTCAGAGGTAAAGGATCAAGACACACTATATTGAATATGTGGGTGAACCACAGGTTTATACAGTGACATAAAGAGCTATGTTTTATTCTTTGTTCCTTTCCTTATAATTCCTAACATTTGATTTGCTTTTCTGCCTGCTAATAAGCACTTACGTATTATAAACCTACTGCTCCTGGACACAGCCAAATCAGTCTACCATTCTGTATCTGAAACTAGAACTGCGTTTTTTCATGTCATTCTCACATCACATTAATTCATACTGAGTTTCATGTGCCATTTTACTGTCTAGTCACTCAGACTAGCAAAAGACTCCTTCAATTCTTCAGTCTGTCCTTACTACCTTGAGTAATCCTGGATCATTAGCAAAAATTGTTGTCTTCAGGTTCACCTCCTTTTCTAAGGACATTTAAGAACACACTCAAAACCAAAATTTTCAGCACAGACCTGTACGAAACACCTGAAACTCCTGCAAGTGTTATGACTTGCAAAATACAGTTTTTATATCTAAATATGGGGACTTTGTTTACATAGTAATTTTGGTGCTACATTAGAAGAATCTAGTCACCTAAAACAATGAATATATTAAATGCAAAGAAACTACTCCCAGAAATAACTTTGAAGGACACCTCTTTAAAGCATCTTTTTCAAAGCCAGTTTTCTCCACTTTGTTAAACTATTTCAAAGCAATTCAGAATTATAGCCACATTTTTGAAAAGGTTTTCACTGAAAAAATACATTATGAAATTTCAAAGGAATGGAGCAAAATTCATCCTCATTTCACAGAATCACAAAATGGTTGAGGATGGAAGGGACCTCTGGAGGTCATCTGGTCCAACTCTCCTACTGAAGCAGGGCCACCTACAGCAGGTTGCAATTATAGCTGATTGCAATTACTACAAAAACACCACTAAAACTTCACAATTATACAGAAACAGGGTCACTTTTTGCATTCTTCTGTACCAAAATAACACACATTTCACTTCATATATGTTGGCTTTGCTTTTTCAAATCACTGCAGTGCTTCTGCTTACTTACTAAGTCTAATAGTGCTTTTAAAAGTAGCAAATATAAGTAGAAATTAGCAAACAACCATTAGTGAAAATATGTTCTAGATAATTAGTCTTTGACCTGGTTTTCTGAAACCACATAGATTTTGCCAAACACTATTATGGATGCTCAAAGAACTGTGCAAACTTAATCACATGGCATTTGGAGAAGTATCTTGATAGTTTCATTTTGCTCCTTCCCAATTCTTATAGCAGACAATCAATGATCAACTGTCATCAATCTTATTTAGACAACTCTAGGTCCTATGAATGTCTTTCATTATTCTTCCTAAATTATCTCTTTTCCAGGTCTAAGATTCTTAGTCTAGTTATTTGTTTCTCACATGGAAGCCAAGTATGCCTTTTGGTAACAGAATGGTTACTTGTGAGAAGATTATGGCTGAGACTGAGCTAACAGTACCAGAACAAAACCAGGATAACAGTGGGTCTGCACCATTCTCAAACACCCCCCCCCCAAATTTGTGAAAAGTGTGGTGTTCCAGTTTTGTCTCTCATTTTTCAACTAGATAAAAAGATCAAAGAAAAATTGCACATCTTTTCTACAGCATTCTGCATGCACATCAAGAGATGAATCAATTATTAATAGATTCAATATAGCTCCAACTATTTTTTCAGAAATTCAGATCACTACACTAACTGCCAATACTAGAGATTCAACCCAAGATCTATCAGCCAAACTAGATCCTTGACATCTTTCTTACTGTTGTGAGTAATAGAGTTACAGTTGCAGACTTACACATACAAAACCAGTGTAGAAAAACAGATCTCTACTACAGAAATAACAAGTGATCACCAATGATCCACTAAACCTATCTATTTCTATTTCTTGCTCTTGGCTGTTTGGTGCCTACCACAAAATCTTTTTTCTTTAGTCTACTACCATGTATTTGAAGAGGGTGTCCTAGGCACCATCATAATAAACACAATCAATGATAATAATTAGAAAATTGTCATGTTGTAAGACAAAGATGTAAAATACACTCTTATGATTTAGTCAAACAATAATTTTGTCTAAATAAGCTAATCTAGGTAAGAGGAAAATCTACTGTACCAGTGTCGTATTCTTCTTCATCTCCGATGCTGAATACTGGTTTCACACCACGGTAGGGTTTTCCTACTCTGTCACTGCTGCTGACATGCCTGTTGGCAATGAAAAGGGCAGGAGAGGACATGGGATGGGAGAAGAAAAGTAACTTTCAAACTTGATGGTATATGATTCCTACAATAACATATTAGCAAAATGTAAACACACTGTGCAACTGAGAAGGACAAGAGAATTTCATGAAGCTGACTGCAAGGAAGCTGTGACTGACCCATCGAGCAATTTGGTTAGTGAAAGATGTATTTGACAGTTACTTGGCAAGGCTGACTGTTGTAACAAATAAAGTGAAAAGAAATACTTTTCTGTTCTAAAAAGAACATCTGGTCACCTTCTCAAATGACAAAATACATTAGAGAGCTGAAAACTGGCAACGTGCTATGAAGTTTCTAGCATGAAACTCAAATATTTCTGGACAGTCAGGGCAGCTTTACAAGGATACCAAACTGGGATGGAGGAAAAAATGAAGACTATTAACTAACTTGTCTGGAAGCTCATTTTTCTGGTTAACTCCTCAAAAGATAACAAAATACCTTAAGCACTTCGAAGTGGGGTTATTATAAACCACCCACTGTCACTGTAGTGTGAACTCTGACTTCCTGTCCATTACTTTCTTCAGCATGAGCCCAACTCTGAAATCTTTAGTCAAGCAATTCCTACTGCTAAAACCCCAGCATTGCTGGGATTTCTGCATAGATATTGACCTCAAAAATCCCATTTTAATCTATTTCTACAGATCATATTAAATGACACAAACACAACTGAGTCTTATTTGACAGTAACAGTTGCAAATCTTGAGATATTTTAGAGTCCCATCTCAGAGCGCTGTGATTACATGGTCACAGCTGTCATGTCAAAAGTTCTGGCCCTCAACTGCTAAGAATACCTGAAAAATATAAGAAAACCTAAAGATTCAGAAAGCCACACAATAAGTAATTGCTGAAAAAACCAAACAGTTCATGATTTTAGCCTTCGGAACTGGCAACATGTAGTAGGTTAAAAAAAAAAAAACCCAAACCAAAACACACCTGTCCCTTTCCCCCAGATCAATTTCTGTAACCTCTCTCCCCATAATGTGTATTCATATTTCCTATAAACTGTTAATGTTCCTGTTTTAAATATATTCACAAACTCCAGTTTACATGCTACTGTAGAACCAGGTTGGAGAGGCAACCTCTTTAGTAATATATAAATGAATGCTAGTAAATGTATACCTGAAAGCATATTTGAAAGTTAAAAAGGAAACCTACGTTTTCTATGGCCAAAATTTACTAATGTAGACAAAACAAAGAAATGTTTAACAGGAAAAAAAACAAGAAATGCATTCTACAGTGAAACAGAAAATAAACATACAGAACCATGCTCATTAGTGTTTAAGACAATAAGCATCAATGACACTGACAATTCAAGAGGGCAGTGCTTCTACACGGAGGCTTTTGTAAATATGCTTTAGTAGTACATAACCAATTGAATAAGAAGTAGTACATTTAATTAGCATCAAATTGAATAACACAGAGAGGATTTAAAAGAAGATCTCATTGGTGTTTATAGATCAAAGTTAGTCAAGAGAAGAGAAAGTTAAAAGCTACTTTATAAAAACCTGGTAACGTCTCAAACTAGAAATGGATTTCCTTTAACCTGTTTGCATGGAAGGCCATCATTACATTGTTACAAACTGAATGCAATTCCCTTTAGTGGCAAACCTGCAAAATGAAATATACTGGTGATAAACACAAAGTGGATCTAATTGAATGGATGGGAAAAGAATGCCATTCCAGGTTTTTAAAGACCTGGAGAGAATAGTCTACTGATCCACAGTGTTAGCAAATTTGTTATTGCATCTTCACAATGAAAGAAGATAAGCAATATGAGTGAAGGAGCAAGCAAAATAACTGAAGTATAATCTCAATATATTGAAAGTTCTTGGTTACAAATACAGATTCAAGTGTCTTTCAGTTATCCAACACAGTCGCCATGTGTTTTAAGTCGGAATTTTAACACTTCCTTACAATATTCTAAAAACTCATTTACAAGTTGTGGGGATAATTCCCCATAATCTTTAGGATTTCTAAATTAACAAAATGTATGAAGTGCTTTTTTTTTTTTTTTAAAGAATACTGGTTAACATTATTGTTGGTTTTGCTCACACAACACCATTCTGTAACGCTTATGGGTAAATCCTATCTCAAAGTATGTGCAAACTACTTGAAAGAAGAATTGGTCCAAGATCCTTGAAAACCCAAACAGCATTTTAAATCTTCATCAATTCTTCCAGCACCATTCTTCATGCTTTTCAGTCTACGAGGGTCAAAAGCTATAACAGAGTTCCTAAAGTATGACCAAAGTTCCAAAGTCATTACGCATGAGCTGTCCTTCATTTATCGCAAGTAATTTTATATAACCTCAATTCACAATTTTTATTTCTGAAATAATTATCAGGCAATAAATCTGAGACAAATCCGAAGGGACTCCAGATTTGTGTGAAACGTGGTAGTTATGTGAACAAGAGGAAGGAGAGTTGCAAGGCATATTTACTTATTAACTCAGCGTTTTTCTTTTCCCAGTAATAAGCACCTCTGTTTCTATCAGCGTGTTCTATCACCATGTGATGAGAAGCATAAAAATTCCAGATTTCCAGACAGAATTTCCATACGGGTTCCCTGTTACATGTAAGCTGATGATGTTTTATGAATAGTTTATAACAAGTCCTTTTCATAGTCATAGTCTCTCTTATTAAAACCTTAAGCCACAATTTGTTCAGTAATTGCTCCTAATGTCTTTCACTAGTGCATGTCACTAATAACATGTACATAGGAAATGACAAGCAAAAAAAAATTTCCATAAAAAGCAACAGTAAGGAAGAGAACAGAAATAAGAAAGCAGAAACTAAGAGAAGAAAGCACTGCCAATACATTCTTTTCCTTCCTCTAGTCCCCTGACCAGTACTTGTAAAAACCAATAGCTTTAATATATTCAAAACCCCTAAATTAATACAAAAATGTGTGAGCAATTTTGTCAGTGTAACCAATGCTTACAAATATTGCGATGCCATGCTAAATACGACAAAGGTGGTTTTAGTCAGACTGCTTAATTATCAAGCTTACCGCTCCAGGCTTGCTCTGTCTGGCCAGGGAATATTGAAAGGTATTCTATAGTACATTGGGGCAGAGGACAGAACAAAAGAATTAAAAAAAAAAGTTTAAAGGAAAAATCTATATAAATAATTGAAATGCTCTATATTGGCAATGTATCTTCTTCAAGGAGGATGCTTGTAAATAAAAGCAATGCTTCATGACAGCTAGCCAGGAGGTAGAGAAACATTTGTAAAAATTCTACTGAAAGATGCATTTTTCATGCTATGTATGGCTTACATATAAGCCTTACCTGAATTCTTCACAAAACAAAAGCTACTACCAAGTGCTATTTAAGTATTTTTTGCCTCTAATTGTGAAACAATAATAATTAAAACCAAATAATTTTCCAACACAAAAAGCAGCAACAATCTGTACATTTTGATTAGGTACAAGACTACTAAAAACTAATGTTTGTTTGACATGTATTTTAAATCCTGCTATCAAAAAATCACTAGTTCTCTAAGATTCTTGAATACCAATGTCTTAGCAACATACAACTCCAAAGGCTGCATTTTAAAGAATTCTAAAACAGGCTATTCAATTAAAGCTTTGACAGATGAAAGCTGTTATGCTTTTACCTAGTTAAGAGAAGTATTTGGAATGATGACTTCTAACTTTGAAAGCATCTTTTTAACATGTTTGCACATTCTCGTTCCCAGCTCTACTTGAAGATACAAAAAATGAACAAGAGTGGATTCTGGGTTTGAAAAGCAGCTTTACATCAGGCCTCGAAAAATCAACATCTTCAAAAAAAAACCTAACCTCAACTTGACAAGATGGGATAGTAAAAAGACCAAAACAGAACAAAACCAACCAACCAAAAAATCCCATTCAGAATTCCTCTCATTCACCCATTCTATTAGAGCCAGGATGAGGAGGAACTGAAATAAAAGTGAAATCATTCTTGACTTCTAGACCGAATACAGAACTGACACAGTATAAGTCAAACTAACCATGCAGTGACAAATTCTAGATAAATGTTAAAGAGAAAAGGCTGCTCACACTGGCCTTGCAATACTAAGGCAGCACAGTAGGCTTACTGTGTCATGATAAAATTGTGAGGCAGGTAGGGGTAGGAAATCTAAAAGCTGAAACTGGAAGATAACTTTTTTCCCTAATTAGCACAGTCTTCACATTTACAGAATAGCCACCTGAAATGCAAAGTCCTTTTATCACTGCTAATCCACAGTGAGATATAAATGACGTACCTGTCCACTGGAGTAGATGTATTTTCAATAAAACTAATAACTTTTTCTTTCACATTCACAGATTTAGTCTTCAAAGCAACCGTCATTTTGTTCACCAGGGACTTCACTCCTTTTCCATCACTCGAACCGTTAGGAGAATCACCCTATGAAAGTACCTCCTCTCAGGATTAATCATATAAGAATAATGTTGTTTCATCTCTAGTTTGTTAAGAAAGAAAACAGACTACAAAATAGTAATATTCTACTTTTTTGTACTCAGTAGAACATTAATTACAGCATTAAGTATTCTTTTAGAGTTCTATCAAATTACAGCAATGATATGTGTCTGAGGTAAAGGTAATCCAAGAAAGATGATCCAATAAAGCAAGCTTAACAAACCTTATCACTGAGCACTACAAAAATCTAGAGAGTAAGGAATTCTATTAATGATAAATTGTATTCAAATTAAAAGCCAAATTCTACGTACAAATCAGCTGTAGAAAAGAGATGATTTTGAGCTTTCCCATGAAACCGTATGCCAGTTTTATAGTAATTTATTCCCAGAGCGAAGAAGAGCCAGGAAAAGGATTATCCATTACATATATTCTGCTGGAGAAAGACTACAGCAAGTTCTCTACAAGCTCTTCCTCTGAAGAGGATAAAAAGGTTTAGGTTGCCGCCAACTAAACGCTGAATTTGAAATTAAACACACAACTGAAAACAATCACAACTTGCAGTAATGCATTTTACAGAACAGAGTGAGGAATATGAAGAAAAAAATTCAGTACACCTGGGGCTCCCATCCCACTACACCACTTGAGCTTAAAATTCACTTACATCAACAGAGGAGTTTATGCTGCTTCTTGAGCCTGAGGTACTAGCAATCCAGTGGCCATATCCATTTTCTGGTCCTTCCACATTGATATCTGCTAAGTGTTGCTGGAGGGCTGTTAAAAGGCCATTAAAAAACGTTCAGAATTACACTGGAATTAGTCTGTTGATGAAAATACTGTCTATTCAAGACTATAATCAGTAACAATTTTTGCTCAACATGATTTAATAAAACAGATACATTCAGGTACTGCCATATTCATCCCTGGATTTTTTTCTCCAGTAGCACAAAGGCGTTAGGATAATCTTTATGTTAGTAAAGAAAACAGTTAAAATACAGCAGCAACTAAAAGTAAATCACTACTTTGATCCTAAAGATAGCTGTTATGACACTGCACGTATTGACTAGTAATGCCTCTGTACTCATATTGTATAGCACAGATCTCTCCACTGCTGCAGAGCTTGATTGATTCCAGCAACATAAACTGCAGAATTATGAACTGATGATTTAAGAAAACACAACAATTAACAGTAATTATGAAGTAGCATCTTCATATGGATCTGCAATCTACTGAGGCTAAACATCAAGAATGACAAGTTAGAAGAAAGAGGGAATTTCCCCACTTCCTGTATTAATTTTTCACCATTCAGAAATGTGGGTAAGCCATAACAGTTAACCACAAATGTACAAGTGCAGAGTGTTGACTTGCACAAAACAAAAACCTGATAAATGAGAACTATCTGCCATTCATTCAGATGATTTCTAGCCAAAGCCTAATAAAAATATCAACAGCGTTAAGATACCCAGTTTACTCAAGTTAAAGCTCGTTATTAATAAGCTTACCCATAAATCCTCCTTTGGCAATGCTTACATACTCCTTATTTTTCTGCAACAGAGAAGACATTTTTGGTTGAAGCAAAAATGAATTTTGCAAGCATGGTAATGAAACACTGCTTAATTTCATAAAAACTGTACATTTCAGTAACGTAAAAAACAGGTAAGATTTTAAGGGGAAAATATTTTGCCATTTCATGTCAATGGTATGTGCAGACACACTTTATTTCAAGCTACCAAAATCAACAGCAATTTAGCTGTACCTGTAAGAAGTGTGCTAGCACCATGTTCATATACATATCTTCTTCTTCCCTGCCACTTCCCATGAAGCAGAGATGTTCCCCACCAGCTATGGAGCCAGACTCGATAGATTGTTTTTGTGCTTCTAATAGGGATTTTACAGACTGTGCAAATTCTGATGGGTTTTGAAGCATCTGTGGAACAAACAAACAAAAAGTGCTGTTTGAAACCAATATACTGTAACACAACTTGTGAAAAGATACACACTTTGAAAATGGTTATAATTTGGTGAGCACCAACAAGGCAACATCAGCACTGTACAAGACACACACACACACAGAAAGACAGCCTGACCCAGACCTTGTGCTACGTAACAAACACTGAGAATGGTCCTTTTCTTCCTCACTCCACCTTGCTCTCCGCAGAAAAGAAATGCAACTAACATTTGTTAGTATATTTTTGCAGATACCAAATAATAGTGGAAAGAAATCTTTGCAACATTTGTGTTGCATTAAGCTGGCAATATTGCAGAGGGACTGTTTTCCATATTTACGTATGCTTGAGCACAACATATTCAAACTTTGCAGTTTTGAAACCCTTTAAAATACTTAGAATTTCTAGGTGCCAATACGGTCCTCGTCTTGTCTCGCCGCTAAGCTTTTTCACATTTATTTATCAAGATTTGGAAAAAAAAAATTACAATCGGGAGTACAAGTAGATAACTGGGATTCTTAGTACTCTCAAAAAGTTAAGGCTGTGGTCTCCTGAAGGCCTATTACGCATACAAAACCAATGAGCTGCTATATGAAAGAGATGGAGAAAAAAAGACTTTCTAAATACAGGTGAAGTTTTAAATTGTTCTTGTGGGGAAGGCACTTATTTCAATTAATAAGGCAATATTGACCTGCAACTGAATTTAGGAGGAAAGGTGAAGGGGATGGAGGAATTCTCATTATCTAGCCTTTACACTGGATTAAATGGCAAAGTACAAAATAAGAAGTATACAACCTAGCCATCAGCAAGTCAACCTGAATTTTAATTGGGGTTTTCCTAGAGCCAAATGCAGGTGCTTTATTACATAGGTGCTAAATCTCACTACTTGCTCTATCTAAGACTACCTATAAATGAGACGCATTCCAGAGAGCTTTCTCTATCGCCTCCCCTTAAAGTAAATTGAATGTACGTTGCACATAGAAGCGTATAAAATGCACTGAAGTTCCATTAATGGCTTTTTGTCTCAAAGATTATTCCCTACAGTTTTCCTGGCATTAAACTTCTAAGAACAAAGATTAACCTGCTGACATTCATCCAGCGTGGTTCACGAAGGATCCTAAACCTCCCCTGATGCAACCTGAGGCTGTTTTCTCTTGTCCTAGCACTTGTTACCTAGAAAAAAAGAGACTGACCCCCACCTCACTACAACCTCCTTTCAGGTAGTTGTAGAGACTGATAAGGTCTCTCCTCAGCCTCCTTTTCTCTCCTATATACTTGTGCAAATACTACTGAATAATACATAATTTTAATTAGAGAGGTAAAGATTATAGATGCAGGACTGAGCTTCTTCACTAAGAAAGGTAAAAAAGCACTTTATGCAGTATATACATAGAAATCATTCCATGCAACTTCCATAGACTGATGAAGAGAAACAGTAGAGGGTTAATCTAGAAGTGGAGAATACACTGTAAGCCAGCTGAAGCACAAGTGATTTGGGGAAAAAAGGACAGAGAAAAATATGATTGAATGTTCAGTTAGGAATTCATAATCAAATGGAAACTACAGCAAAATCTTTAATGAAGTAATTAGTCCATAGTACATCTCAGTCCCAAAATTAATGCACTTCCCCTCTCATATTGTATTGCAAAAATTTTAAAGGAGCAACCAAATCCTTTTCAAGACATATGCTCCTTACAAGCAGGCTGTAGTAAGACTGGCTTGGGGGGAGGGGGAAAATGCTACTTGTTGAAATTAGTGAAACCTTTCATTGGAAATTACAATGCTAAAAAGAGATTTCTCCTTCAAGCAGTGTCTAGTCTTTAGCCTGTATGGGTTTCCAGTTCTAAGCAAAGAACAGGAAGTCTGAAATCCCAAATTCTAATGTCATTAAGGACTAAACTTCTCAGTAAAATGATGGTTGCACCAATGTCCTTTAGAGAAGCTGACTTTTAAAACCTCATCACAGAGCTAGACACTGCAGTCCACAGACTAGAGGCTATACTAAGGATAATTTATTTTTCAAGACAGACATTTCTATCTCCTTCTATTTAACTTAGGATTCAAAAAATCAATAAAGAAACAAAAAGCATACAAACCAAATCAGAATCCAAATGAAATGCTGTTGATAGGTGCCCAGCATTATATTGCTCTGCAGGACGACAATCCACTACAAAGAACCTTACTCCTTCCTGAAAGAGAAAGATTTTGCCTGTTACAAAATTTTTAAATCTTGTAATTATTAATAAGAAAGTACATAATTAAATTATATTTTAATATAAATTCCAATACTACAGGAAGCCCTCAAAGGGGCTAACAGCCATCAGAAAATCTTATTTCATTTGATTAATCTGAACTTCTACAGTTACCAGACCACTAACAGTATTCTAACAGTGATTTCCCATTAATACATCAGCTTCCACATTGGAAAGGATCACCCAAGTGCAATATACAGTGTAATTACTTCACCTCTGTTGAGAAGAAATATAGTGGGTATGAGGGCACACATCAACAAGCATCAGAAGCGACAACTTTGAAGTCCCAATCTAACAGTCCATTACTACTCAGCACAGCACATAAGGAGGGGGGGGGGAGTATGCATGATGAAACTGGGGCCTGGAAACTGCTACAAAAAGCCAGTAGTCAATAAGAAACACTGTAATCTAGATACATGGGTAATCACGTACTGGTCTCAAATACTCTAGGTGAAGTCTCTGCATCTAGGTATGCCTGCAATTAACTGTACTAGCCTGAATCAGTTTTTTTGTTTGTTTCTTTAAACCTTCCATTGACATAAGGCAGATATTTCATAATGGCATTCTTCTCAAAGGTACTGAGTAGTGGGTTTTAAATTTTCCTCTACAATAGCTACATTTGGAAAGGAGTTCAAATTAGTGAAATACTACTTTAAGTTCCTACTCCACAGATTCAAATCAGCTGTATTAAGTTCCCCCTGTGCTGTAGATCTAGTTGCTACAGCACAAATGCATTGCAGTCAGCAGATCATTTACAAGGGAGACAACTTCAAGACAAGAATACTTTCTCCTGAAATAGCAAATATTCATCTGTGTTGTCAGCACTTAAAAATATTTGTGATACACAAAACAGTGATTCTTTTCCTTTTCTATTAATTTGGGGGGGGGAGAGGGAGGGGGGGCAGAAGAGTAATTCAGTATACTGACTCCTTGTTGCTGGTTTGCTTGAAGAATCTCAGACACAGAAACTGCTAGACAGAGAGCCTGGCTCAAGTCTGTGTCATCATCTTTGAGGCCCAGCAAGCTGCTGCCAAAAAGACTGTGGTTGTCCTAATAAGGCAAGAGAGAGAAAAAAAAAAAAGTTAATTGAAGCCATTGTTTTTAGATGTGAAGGCTTAAAGTAAAACTATATCCACCACGCCACAAACATTAAGCCTGATAAATGCGTATCTTGTCCACATGGTCATTAAGTTTTTCATCAACTAAAATTCTTTCTGAAAATCACAGCAAGGCCTGAACTTCCATTACAAACATGCTTGATCACCACTCTGACCATGCCAACATGATGAAATACCTCTGGTTTTTGGTTTTTTGATTGGGTTTTTTTCCCCCCAAAATCTCACATACCTGTCGACACACATCAGAGAAAGCACATATAAGCCAAAGGCGATGACTATCAATCACTTTTAATTCATGAATTCACTGAAGGCAGATATCTTAAGTAAGCAAGAACTGCAAGGACAGTGCAGGTGATGACAGCTTTTATCTCTAGTAACTGACTTTTTCCCTTTTGCTGCTGCAAGTACAGCTAGGACTGCTGTGCAGCCTACTACAACACAATTGTGTCAGCGTGGCATTTTTGCTTCATCAGTTCCTACAAGAACCTGGTTTGCAAAACAAGGTCATCGGTCGTGAAGTGAGAATATGGCAGTGAACCTTCTCTCTAACATGTTTCACTTAACCTTAGCTTCCAACGATCCTATCAGTAAATATCACTAGACTAACAACACAATAAAATTGTTTAAAAATACATCACAATGAAATATTCAAAGTTACTGACAGCAGGAGCTTAAACAGTCACCAAAAAGAAGAGAATTTCAAAATGACTTTGTTATTACCTTCCTGAAAGAAGCTGGAGTTTTGCTACAGTAATATTGTGCCAAAGAGAAGAGATCTTCTATGTCCTCTAAATCGAGATTGGCTGGTGAAGTTTCTAAGAATTCTGAGATATACAAACAACATAAATGCACCATTATTTCAGACGTAGAAAAGAAGCACCATACATCTTTTCACATCATAAAATAACTTATTTTATAAGACATAACACAACTGAGTTTACTGATTAAACATGAATGTTGATTCACTCTCCAGGTGGAAGAAGATAGAGGAAATACTCCTTATCCATAAGAAACCTATGCTACTTGCTGGAAGTTCAAATCTAGTCTGCAAATTATTTTTTACCACACTCTTACCTCTCTATAGTTTTAGCTTTCAGTTTTAATACTAAGTCAGCTGCCTTTTCTAAAACGGGCTGAACAAGAGAATCCTCTAAAGCAGAGTACTTAATCAGCAGTACTATTATATGTCCAGGATGGTACAAGGGTGTTCTGCAGTATATGGCAAAGACATAAAATTCCAAGCACCCTCATTTTTAACTACCAGGAGATTATTAAGTGAAAAACAAATACAAAGGCAGGTGAAATAGGCTCACAAGAAGTTTAGTGTAATTACTATAAAAAACACAAGCGGGTAACACAAGAACAATGAATTAGGCTCATATCAAGAACATACAAAGACAATCTAGAAAATGCAACAAGTGCAGTAGATTTAAAGAAGTATTATTCTTAAAGCTACTACTTTGGGCTTAGAAACATGGTGATTGTTTCAAGTACTCTAAACCGAAGTATAAAACTAGGTGTGGGAGTGCTAAAAGGAAACACAAGAAAAGAATGTTAAGGACGGCAAATGTGATGCAGCAAAAGAAGAGTAAGAAAGGAATTAGTGGGTGAGAGGATTCATTGAGAAAATCACAGGGAAATAAATAATTCAGTTATTTAGTAATTAAAAATAATAATCAATGGGGATTATACTACATGGTAAATATTTCACTAGCAGCTGTGTAACAGAAATACTTACTTATCATTTCTTCTTTATCTGATTCTTGTGCTAAGATAACGTCTCTGAAAACAGTAAAGTCACAGACATACATTAAGTCAGTAAAACCAAAATGAAACAAAAGTGGATTAAAACTGTCAGCAAGGAATGTCCTAGAGAATTAACTATACACTTACTTTGCATTGACAAGGATGATTAACATTAAGAAATAAATAAAGAATGGATCTGCTTGTTGTAGATATCCATCCCATATTGCCTGAGTGACTTCATCTGAACAGTAATACGAGAAGAGGCTTCCAAGCTAAAAATATGAAAAATAGCATGAGAAAAAGCAATAGCCAGGAACAATCTTATCAGGACAACATTTTAAACAGATAGATACCTAAAGGAAAATAAAATAGCGAAAAGAAAATAAAACCAACAAAATTATGTTAAAATATACATTTGCACCATGTATTGAAGGATGGTTCTACCCTCAAAAACTTTTTATGGAAACAGTGTAGTACTGCTACACATTATCTGTGAATAAATATGCCTACTGTGAAGGCAAAATCAGCTGCACATTGTCAGTCTTGCAAATTCAGACAGAGATAACACAATCAGGCTGGAATACTGTTTAGCTCATAGCCACTGCTAAATACCAATTATACCAACAAGACAATAAGAAGAGAATATATTTACTCAACCAGCTTAACAAAGAGGACTTTGAAAGGATTCTGTAAACAACATTATTTTTATTTTTCACAGTAGAACAAAGCTAATTGAACATGGTTGCATGTCAGTTTGACATCACTTACTTTACATTATGGTGCTTTATGGCTAAGTAATTAAATGTTTGCAAGCACAGAAAATTTTCATTACATTTTAACAAACTCTTTGCCTGTTCCCATTTAAAAATATATCCCCTCTGATATGCAAAGTTCAAAGTGGATAAAAGAAAAGGTAGAAACTTTCTTTTCATACATGCCAGAAAATATTTGCAATCACACCCAACTCAAATGCATACCAGCTGGCTTCACTGGAGTCTGACCGAACTTGCTGATGCATACAAATTCTGTATCAACAGAGCTACAGCTTTCAAAAGCTCAGTATCTGTTTATAAACATTATCGTGGAACATCTCAGCACTTCCTAGTACACTTCTATAATAAAAGTTAAGATCTATCCAATTCTGAGTGAAATGCAACTGAAGACGAAATGTCCCTGAAGGAGACAGTGACAGGACTCTGAGTGTTACTTATGTATTTCTACACATTAGAAATACCTCTATATAGACTAAGTTTTTTGACAGATGAAACAGGGAATTTTAATGTAATCTTGTAATATAAAATGAGGCTTAAGATTTTTTTCTAAGATTCTACACCAGAAAGCATGACACTGAGGACTAGCAGCTACACCAGCTCATTTCCCTACCTCCTTTCAAAGGGAAGATTTTTTTTCCTAATAAATCACTAAACTTTTAATAAACAACTTCAAAAACATTTATATTTACTAAGGAAAATTATATCTAAAAAAAAGGGAGGCTCAGTAGTAAAAAAAGACCCGATTCCTCTTTTGAAGGTTGACAACTGGCAAAAGGCAGATTTTGAGAATACTAAAATTATTCCTGGACACATTTGACTATTAAAATTGGTAACAGCCTAAAAAAATCTTCTTTAAAAAAAAAACCAAAACCAAACAAATGCAGACATCGCAATTTACTAATTAATTTCAGTCTTCTTTCTTTAACTGAAAGTAATGGAGTTACAAAAAATTTTACAAAGCCAATGGGTATGGAAGAAGAGGTTAGAAGAGTTCATGGGTCATAAAGTCTTCTTCATTAATTTACAGACTTTGCCTCTGCAAGCACTGCACCATAATTTTGTATTGCATATACTAAGTAGCACTGAAACATGAGAATTTTGCTGCTTTATGTTGTAGTCCTGCTATACAAACTTTACAAAAAATGACTGAGGTAAGCATCTTTATAAATATCCCCAACTTGAGGCAGTTTTGAAGTTAAAGTGAGGAGGAAGTGACCAACATTTGACGAGCTGTAAAACATATGTGCCTAAATTCTAAAAGGCATAGCCCCATATGAGGCAGTCAAATATATCTGTTAGCACGGAGGTTTTCAAAACGATCAGTAATGTGACTTTAAAAAGGACCATTATGCTGATGTTTATCCATATCTACAACCATATAGCTGCCCACTATAAAAAACTAACATCACAGCTTCTTACTTTTTTAGTCTGTCATTTGCTCTAGCTCTTACTGATTCCAAGTATTTCCTAACACCAGTGGCTCAATTAACATCCAGTACAATAAAAACGTGACATTAACAAGATCTCATACCTTATGTTAAACAACCTTAGACAAAAAACCTACACTACATTAAAGCATGCCATTTATTTCAATATATGCAGTTCTAATCTCTTGTACTACTATTCCATAAACTGGCAACATGTACTTAAATTTTAACATAAATTTATTTTTCATTATGTTTCCCTACTTTCACTTTATTACCCAGTTGAGTGCATATGAGTCTGGAGTCATCTTCTTAGTATCAAGAAAGGAGCAGAGTTCAGGCTCGTGGTACTGAAGCAGCAGCCTAAATAGATGAAATGGTCTTCCCTTCATAAAACAATCCCTACAAAGTAGCAGTGAAAATAATCATAAACCTGCTGGTAATATTCCAGTTGTCAGACTTACAGTAGCAATTCTGTATTAGTTGTAATTATGTAATTTCCTATATATCCTTTAATTCACAGGGACTGATCATGAAGTCAATGTACCTCAAAAGTTAAAAAAACCAAAACAAACCAAAAAACAACCCCACCAAAACAATAAAAACCCCACAAACACTGAAAACCCCACTAATTAATAAGGGCGGAGAAAGAATGAAATACCATCAATACTTCATAAAGTATATAATACAGAAGTATTTAAAACAGATTTAAATATCAAACCAAGGCTAGCATGGTATCAATATTGTTAACTAAAAATAGAATTAAAAAATATAAATCATGCTAATATGACAGCCAAAGGAAATTTAAGAGATGGGTATTTCATACACGAGTAACAATTAAATGTCAATTCTTCAAGCAGGAAGTAAAGGAGTACTTAAAATGAAGAAACAGATATTTAAAGACATTAGGAACAAATCTCAAGTGTTTAAAAACTTAAGTAGATTTATGTGAAACTTGACAAACAGATCTCCAAACACAATTGTCAGCCTAACTTTCTTAATCCAGGGTATGTCTATGGTGGTGAAATAGAAACATTTACAGTCAATTAAACACGGGGTTTCTTTTTTGGAATTATGACAAGAACACTGACTTCCCATTAAGTTAACAGGGCAAGAAGTGTGAAAAGAAGAAAAATATTCTATTAATGAATTTAGCATAAGAATCTAGACTTGCAAATTACTTTGTTTGAATGGTTAATAGCATCAGTTATTCCAGTCAGTCATTTTTTACCACCTTCTAACATTAAGAATATACCCCAAAATAGCTTTAAAAAGAATCCTTCCACATTTCTACTGACAGTGAACAACCTTGTTCAGACATTTTTCTTAACTGTTTTGCTCAGTAATTTTTTACTTCTGGTACCTGTTGTAGTAATCAACCCTTATGAAAATAATTTTTTTTTTTTAACCAAAAAAAAGGTAGCTATTTTCTACCCTCTGTTAGAGGTAACATCGATGTAATGTAAGCAGATGTAACGCACTTTTCTTACATGGTCCCTGGGAGGAGACACACTTCCATTATCCACTTCGAGCTTTTTACTTAGTTTATGACCTTATAAGTTCTCACACAAATAATTGTCTATTCAACTGCATATCTGAAATGGTGTTTTCTTCTACTTATGGCCAAAACAAAGAATACTAATGACCTAGGACTTCCAAATTAACTGTTTGTTAATTTCGTATAGTTCAGAAAACTCACCATTCTAGAGGAAAGCCAGGAGGGAAAGAAAGAGAGGGATCCACAGGATACTTTATACCAAAAGCCTTGAGAGTAACAGCATTTTGAAGGAAAAAATAGCAAAACCTCTCACATCTAAAATAGCCTATTATGTTTTGGGTTTTTTTCCCTCATACTTCCTTTGGCTTGCTAGAGATGCTCTTTCAATAAAAGTCCAACATATAATATGGTACAACAGATTATGCTGTACATTTCCCTCACCTGTTGCCAATATTTTGTTTGAATAAATTCCCAATAAATATTTCATGATAGTCACAAAACATGTGAAAATGTGAATAAAAAGTGTATCATTTAAAAAACAAAAAAAGAAAAAAGTTAAAAATGAAACTTTTATCACATAGCAATGATGGTCCAGCAGTCAAATGTCAAATCGAGAGCAAACTGACCTAAGTGGAGATTTGCAAGTCTACTGTAAATTGTCTTTCTATGCCTTTCATTCTCCCATTGGGGGGGAAAAAAAAAAAAAGAAAAGAAAAAAGAAAACAGTCTACACCTTGTTGTAGCACCACCTAGGTTCTTAGAGAGAAACTCAAATACAAGACGCTCGACAGCTTTCTGTGGCTGAAAATACATGAGTTATGTGACCATAATGCCTTTATCCCCAAACAGTTCACAATCAGAAATGGACACAAGCTGAGTCAAGTGACAGGACCTATAAATGCTTCCTGCCACAACACCAAACATGCATTTTTCATATTATGGGCACACACCCAGTAGCTGGGCCAGAATCTCCTCCCTAGGGAATCAGACTTAGGTCTTTAATTACAGACTATCCATATATTATTTCATAAAGTTTTAACTAGAAGACCCTGTAGCCTTGCTGGAGTGTCACGGTGTTACTCCAACATATATAAAAATTATTTTACTAAGAACACCTATGTAGCAGCATGAAAAGATCCAATTTAATATATTTCTATATAAAAAAAAAAATATTTCAGTCCCAACTGAATAAAATATCAACTACTTCTAAATAGATTTTGAGACTTAGCGCTTATGAAGTACCTTGAAGTGATAGTGTAGAAGCATTTTAGATATAAAAAACACTAGGAAAAGAAAGAAAACAATGCTTTCACATAAAATGTATGAATTACATAGTTCCTAAACAGCTATTTTTGACATTTCATGAAAGAATAGTTGTTCTTTAAAAAAGACATCAAGTCTACATCAGTCATGTGCTAACTCTTTACACCTTAAACAAACTCAATCACTTCCTAGACTTCAAACCAACATGTACTGAAAGATGTTTCAATCCATTATCATATGAAGGAATCTGACAACTTTGCTAAAAACAGTGCTATTCTAGCTGAAACCAACATGCACATCCTTTCAGAAATTACTTTTATAGGCAAAAGAAACAGAGTTTTACCTTGGAATGAATTTATTCATGATAGCATAAAAGGAGTTGTACAAATCACTGCGTGGCAAACGAAGGTGCACCAGAGGTTTGAGTAAGTGTATCCAGCCAAGGCAAGAACTGTATTTAACATTGCGTGATTTACAATAAAAAGTAATAACAGACTCAATATCCAGAAGTAATACTGACTTTTCCTCTTCTGGCACTGACAACTGGTCTGAAATAGACACAGCAATATAAACTGTATTAATGGCCTTTCAAAGAAATTTAATTAGGTTATTTCATAGCACAATTGCACCAATAAGAACTGCTTGGGGGAAAAAAAAAAGCAAACAGACAAAAACCTAGCAGCTTGGACTAAATGCTTACATAAAGGCATCCCAAAAGGCATCAAAACACAAGTGATTTTATAAGCCCAGTAAGATAAGGCATTTAAAATATCACAACAACTGGATTAAAGAAGTTTAGGTTTTCCCGTATCTGTATAAAACAAAGAGGTGGATTCTTTTAATGCACAGAGTGCCTCTCTTCCATTTCTAGTTGATGTGCTTAGCACATAACTTATGCTCAACTCTACAACAAATTAATTTGAATTTCAACACAAATCAGCCCATAACGCATACCTCCAATTCCTCAAAAGCCCACTGGCGTGCAAATTTATGAAAATCATAGTTTGAAATCAGCTAGGCTTACAGACTTGAATTTTAGTATTATCATATAAATGACATTTTTAATCTCTACTTCAAAGTAATTTTCCTAACAATAGTTTAAATTTGGGTTTGTTAGGGTAACTATGAAAAGAGAAATTTACTTTATTACTTACAACTATACCTGGCTTTTAAATTCAATTTGGTACTGTTGCTAATCAGAAGATACACTAACCATGAACATATATAATCTTTCATATAAACGTAGTACATTGTTTCAAATTCTTACGAATGGTGTAAGGTACTGAAAAGTAAAGATGACCCCTATTTCACGACAGACTAATTCTGAATCCATAATACATACTGTTGCATTTGGATGAAAATTGGCACAAAAATTTGGTACAAAACCAGTTCTGCAATTAAGGTAGCAAGCTAAACACTTCTTAAATACTGTCATTACTGAGTTTGATGTGTACACAAAGTTAGGTTTTCATTAGTTCCAAAGCATCTTTCTGCACAGACTCTTACTTAAAAGGCTGACAACACTTCAGAAGTAGTACTGGCATCCACCCCACTTGAGGTAATGAATCTAAGACATGCTGAAATATGTCAACACTATACCCCAAATGATGCCTTCCTCCATGTGATGAAATAACTACCTAGCTTACTTACAGTTAAATATACAGTATTTATTATACTGGTTGTAGTGAAGCCAGACTTCTGTGTAAGTTCATACAATTTTCAATTTAATATTAAACACCTCTAATATTAAATACACTTACGAATTATATGATTTCAGAAATAAATGTGTTTTAATCCACTTAGATTATGTCAATTTTACTATAGCTAAACTGACTTAGAGTCAAAAAAGGAACAATCATGTCATGTCTCTGATAGGGGGAAGACATGCCTATGCACATTAATGCAGTGGCATTAAATTTCTAGTGAAGGTTTTCCCCCCTCAATTACAAGAAGCTCATGAGTCTCAATACTGCTAATGAAAGTTTTTATTACTGAAGTCTTTAATACTTTCCCATCAAAGCCAGTCAATATTTGGCACTTCCTTTCCTCTACCTCTCAGGAAAATAAAATAGTATACAACTCAAATGCCATCTGAAGCTTTACTTTAAATTTGGAGACTACTTGCTTTGCTAAAACATAGAAGCAGAAAGATTTAATCCAATCCAAAACTGAAATCTCTATATAGCCTTCATTCTGAACTAACTTTGTACTTATTACTTTAATCATTTTAATATTGTTACATATTACAAATATTTTGTAATGAAGACAAAAAGGAGAACTAACAGACACTAAAGTGCTTGATTTTGAATGTTATGAATACTAATTGGGATGTTTTGCCATCTTCTAGAAAAGACACTGCGATTAAGTAACACAGGGGAATTTTCCCCCCCTTTCTTTTACAGGACAGAGAGAAGGAAAATAAGCCCTACTAGATTCTAGAACTAGAAAATGTAGAACTGCATTTTAAAAGTAGTAGGTATGTATGTATGCATGCAATAACTCCATTCTCTGCCTTAACTTTCAGCTGTGCAAGAATAAATTAAAGTGTGACAGGTAATAAAACAGAAGATGCCATAAGAAGTATCATCCCAATTTATGAGTCAGCATATTGACTCCATCATCTGATTTTTGATACTGACGTTGTTGCATGGTGTCAGGGATTTGGCCATTTTTGTGATGACTTGCCAACCAGATCTTGTGGCAGCTCCTTACAGACATACTAGAATAGTATTTCCAATGTCCTGGCAGCACCTTGTTTGCACAAACACCACCTTTCATTTTTGCTAAAAACACTATTAAAAAAACACCTTTCAAAAAAATAGTCTTTAAAGTCCAAAATGTTTAATGTATTTCTTCCATTAGAGGTTATACGCATTTTGGTGTTACACCAGCTTTTCAGATTAAGTACCAGTTATTAGACAATTAAAAACTTCATAAAAAAATGAGATTTTTTTCAATTCCGGGAGCTTTCTTCCCATTTGGCTCTGACCATGCAAACTACCACTTCCGAGCTAATACTTTAAACTTCCATGATGTCACCCACCTCAGAGTCAGAGTACAGATAAGATACTACTGTTTTCTTACAAGTTCTTTCTGATTTTCTCTGCCCTCTCATCTTTCTCCTCAAAGCTTCCTCCAAAAAGTAAACATCGATCAGGTTATTTAATTCAAATAACAAAGCCCTAAGACAACTGAGAGTACAGAAGTTTTCACATAGGTGATCTAAATGTAACTGAACTTACCAATTAGCTCTTGGCAATCCTTATGAATTACACTCTGTTCTGGTAGGTCTAAAGAGCCATCCCAGGATGCTAGGCTGTCCCCCTTTCCTACAACATTAAGTGCAATCTGAAAACAAAAAGAGAAAACCCTCTAAACATTTTAGTATCCTCGTGTAGTTACCCAATTATTGAACTCAAAGAAGAGGAACATCCTAAAACTGAATCAACATACATGCATATTAAAATTCCAGTACTACATCTCTTCTGTATAGATGCCTGGTAATTAAATCATTTACCTCAAATCAAACACAACTTGAGTATTTCCTGCTTCTTGATTTAGGCTTGTATTTACCTTCCAGACTTTGGCCCTCAGATCAGCAGGTAACTGCCTTCCTTGAATGATGTTTCTCACAGTTTCAAGATCACAGCCTCCTTCTTCTAGAGCGTCTGCGAGATCTTTTTCCCTATAACAATGATACGTGATGTGTTTGTTAAAAATCAATTATACAATATTTTTCAATGTTTATCTATTAAATAGATGTAGATTGAAGGCAAAACCCACACATATGTAAAAATTTATTATAAGACAATTTGCCAATTACTGAAAATAAATATTTGCAAAGTGTTATTTATTCCTTTATTTTTAAGGCTGCTTGTTCAAGTTTTAATTCCATTCAATTTGCGTATGAGAAAAAAAAATATGTTCAGAGCATTTTCTGTTTGCTTTCATGAAGTGGCAATGTTGCAAAATGTATCATAAGAATGTAAATTTAGTTGTCATTTAGAACTTAAGAGATACATGGCAAATTTTCACACACACACAATGCATTCAAAGCAAACACTACACCTAAATTAGATGGCATAGTTCTTTTAAATAAAATACTACATGACCTAGAAAACAGAAAACTTATTTTAAAGGTTTAGAACAGTCAGCTTTTAACCCCATCTTTCCCTGAAATGGGAAAAGGACCTTTTAGTCAAACTCGTGTTTACTTAACTACAAAGTTCTAGTACCGTAAGTGTAGACGTGTGCACAAGACTGAATTAAAACACACAAAAATGTTAATAATAGTGTAGAAAGTAGCAAAATACACAAATTCACAAGACAGTCAAACAGTAATGATACTTTAAGTTGCCATAGTAAGACAACAAAAGTTCATAAGCATTACAGGTAAGAAGGCACTCATTCACAAATGATTACTTTACAATCTCTCTGATAACTTCTGAAGACTGTTTCAATGGTTCCATGCTGCCAACAATGAGAGAATCACATCTGATGATTTCAGGAATTTCAATACGGTGTAGCACAGCAGTAGCAAAACACCAGCTTCGCTAGAAAAATAGCAATGGCAGTGATACATATGTCCCATAGGCAAAACTTCTCCCCTACCGTATCCTCTTAACTGTTCTCTACTAGCTCTGACATGTGCCTTAAGAGAGGCTTTGCTTCATATACCTGAGGAGTTAAACACACAGCTGGAAGGTTTATAGAATGTGGTTGTTTATTCAGGACAGATATTAAAATGTGAAGATGCAGACCTTGTGAACAACAGGTCTATTTATACATGTGTAATAACAGATTTTAAAGTGTTATCAGTACAATTCTCAATTAATCCCCATGTTATATAGTATGTAGTGAATTCCAAATACTCATGGAAAAAGAATGTCAGCTGTTGAGCTCTGTCTGCTTCTCTAATCTGCATATACCCACAACTAACTCCTTGACATAAAGCTTCTCAAGCTTGGTCTTCAGAAAGCTTAACACTCGAATTTCTGATTTGCTAAATATCACCCTTTTTGATAAACAGATTGAAATTGCAATCCTGTAAGAATGTATGCACAAAGAAAACAATAAGCAATGAGCTAGCCTTACTTAAGACTTCTCAAAGCATTTACAAGTTTGCAGAGTAAGCATTTTCCTCGCATTGGGTCAGCCAGATTCTTTGCCGGTACTTTTTGGTAGCACTTTAAATCTTATTTCGAATATACACTGGGGCACAACTAACAGACTGTTTTCTTCAAGTAATTTTGTGAGTTTGGATGAAAGAAAGAACAGTTTACAAAGAGACTGACTTGCCTTGTTTTCTTATATTTTTAGTATTTAAAAAAAAAAAAATCCCAAGGCCCACTTATTACAGAACTACAGTCTGCATCAGAAATGGGGTGGAAAAAATACACAAGCACACTTGCACATCTGTCATCTATCCTGTTGTCCGGCTGTGTATGTAACAATCAACACTGGAAAAATTAAAACCACTGAATCAGTTAACTCTGAATAAAAATCAAGTATTTCCAGAGCATTTACACAAAAGAGACCTAGCACTCGGCAGAATTCTGAACTCTGGGATGATCTAACTTCAGCTGAAGCCAACACCAAACATCAGCTGAAGAGAGCTAGATGCTCTTAGATACATTGCAGGTTTCTGTGCACAGTATGTACAACAAACATGCTAAAGAGCAACAGCTAGGCCTTGAATTAGAGCAAACAAAATACAATTAGTTGCTATAAATATTATCCAAGTATTAAATAGGCATGTGGAAATGAATGCAGCAGCTGCATGCACATTGTATTTCAGGTAGAAAGGTCTTAAATTGCAATATGTAAATTTGATTTCTATGTCCTCCAAAGGAAAGTATTTTGGGGGAAAAAAAAGGTAATTTAATATATGCAAAACAAGACTTAAAAATGTATCTACACAATTCAGAAACACACCTAGCAAAGAACGTTTCACAGACGCACGAGTACCAATTCTACCAGTTACTCATACCTCATACTCACAGCTTAAAAAGCTGTGCATGGGTCACCACCAAGAGCACCATGTTATCTGCAAATTTGTGCTTCCTGTTTGTTTGATAACGTACTACTACTTGCAAAATCTTCTTCATAAGTACTGTCACCTGCACTTTGTACACCATGAAGATGACAAGCAAATGCTAGCTTTACTACTGCACTGTAAGAATCTGATACACCCATCTCCCACACGAAGAGAGGTAATGCATTACCACACTGAGGTAAAAGAAATAACAGCAGGGGGGTAAAAATTGTGTTACTCTATTTATGATTTAATTAGCTATTCTTTTCCTCCATCAACTCCCAAGACTGTTCGCAGGCTAGAAGTGAGGACTTCTCAGAGATTAAGAAAAATTATTAGAAAATAAGTATTTTGTTCATGCTAACTTGCAAAGTGATTTTGATACTTTAACACATGTCCGCTGTCGGTGTTTTACCTTCTTTCAGTCTGTGCTGTAAATATTCCAGCAAACTGCTAGCAATCTGGATCCTTGCCTTTAATGAGTGAAGATCAGCTAGGAAGCTTTCTGTTCATATGGACAACAACTATTACACTTACTTTGGAAAGAATGCAAGCACTTCTCTTTATAGGCAAACTCCTCCAGACCTGAACATCCTTCTTTCTGCTCTACCATGGCTCTACTGCCTAATTCTAGACACTATTCTAAACTTTGGTTAGTTGTGTACAACTCCAGCCTATACCCAAGCCATGGCCTGAAAGGTCAATTCCAACAAGACATACTGTTCCAAAGGTTATAATGCACAATACTGCTATTAGTGTAGCTGGAGCAAATTTCCATACTTACAAAAGGATCTCTGAAATTCATGCCAGTCCAGTGACATATTATAAACAAGAGGTAACCACCTTCGCGGATACTCAACATGACTTTTTTTTTTAAAGCCAAAACACTTCAGATGCAAGGGCGAGCTGGAGGCAATAAAAAAATTGATCAACTGTTGGGACTTAAGCTTCACTTTTAGGATTTGGGTTTTTTTAAGTACTAATTATTTTCTTTATATATGACTCTGAGGTAGTTGGTAATAATAACTTATAAATACTAAAGAAGAGCTTAAGAAATTGCACGGATGTGAACAGCAGAGAAAAGTTAGTAGGAATTGTTTTGACAAATCACAAATACATAGGAAAACACATATAGTATTAAGAAAACTACAATCAATCAGTAGATTACAATGCCTGGAATGTATCTGCTAAAGTCATTTTGTCTACTCATTTGTTATTAGGAGAGACAGATCCCTTTGAACGGCTTCTTCCAAGTCAAAGTGCATTTTTTGAAAATATGCTTCAAAAGTTTACAGCTTTGATTTGCGATGGGCACACTTCTAATAGAAATTGATTATTTTCACAGCCCAACAGGCATCTTCTACACGTACCAAATTAATTCTCTAAAACGCACTTATCAGTCCAAAACAAGATGATCACTCTTTTTCCATATACACTGAATCTACTACTACATACCTGCCTGTTAAAGATATTACTCAGTGGCCTAAAAGAGAGCTAAAACACATATTCCCACGTAGATTATACCGCTTACCAAACTGCTTCCCATATTCTGACCACTGACCTGATGTTGGCGCAACACTTGAAAAGCTTCTTTGATTATTTTCTCCCACGCTCAGGTGACACGCCACCACACAAGGCTACCACCACTTTCAGTGTAAGAAGCAGTATTTCTTCAACATCTTCACACATCATTCTTATTTTCCCTAAATCAGAAGCAAGGCTGCTACCAGCTGAACCCTTGCCAGGAGCATCATCAGTTTTAGTTTCTACAAAGTCATTGTCTTCTTGGGTATCAAACACATCCAGTCTGCAAGTTTTCATGTATTTCTGATAATTGCAGCGTGCAAAGAGAAAGACAGGCACATATATCGCAACACTACCATCACCATTATGAGGGCTGCCTGTACAAATCCATGTTAGTGCTAGATTTGACTAATTTATTTAATACATTTTTATTATTCTTATTACTAGGAGGGTAGAACTAAACTGCATTTTAAGCAAAGTACTTTAGTTGAAAAAGGTTTATAGCATGCAGTAATTGCAAACAAGCTTTACTTAAAAGAAAACTGGGGAAGTGAACAATGTCTAATATAAATTTATATTTACAGTCATAATTCTACCTTCCCACAGCAAAGAACATAGCTTCTCACCACAGAAAGCCATCTATATAAAAGCTTCTCCCCTCCTCACCAGATACATGCTTTTACTCTGCTTTCTACTTTTAATATAGGATTCTTCGACTACCGGAAAAAAGCCTCAACAAAAGCTATATTAAAGCGAAAGTAACGAGGAGTGTTTGTTCTCTATTGAAAACAAACAAACAAAAATCAATCCCTCACATTAACTTCAAAATATCCATCGTACTCAGAACATCATTGAAAATTCTGGCTTTTGCAATGGAATTTTGGAGAAAAACATTAATCCCCTGATGTTTTTACCTCTATTATTTTCTCAAGTGTGTTAATTCCGCACTTAACTGCAAAAGATTTTTTTGTTTGTATGCTTTCAGAAGACATACCATGGCTCCAAGCACTAATAACCCAGGTTCTGAGCATGGAAAAAATATGCCTGCGCTAGTTTTGTCGCCTTGTTGTCTGAAACAGCTGGAGTGTATTTTGGCACCCATAAGATGAATGATTCCAATGCAAAGTTAAATGCACAGGAACAATTCCATCTGTAGTTACAGTTATATTTAGATAGTTCAGGTCTTAACTTTCAAAGTATAGATCTTAAAATAAAAGCTACTTGATCAAATTCCCTGAAGCTTGAGTACTAAACAAACATCTGCAAAAAGGTTTTAGAAATTAGTTCATGACTGTTTATATCTTTCTCTGTTTGAAAACCTGAACAAGAAAAATTAAGGTCAACTCATTTCTTTCCTTGATAAATGAGCAGAGAAAAAAAATGTAACTTCCAATTACAAACATTTTAACGAATAACAGCCCAGCATGTTTATATCTATACATACTATTGACTAGATGTATTATACTGACTAAATTTTTGGTTAAAATAATCAAATAAGCAGACAAAAAAAAAGAAATTAAGATTTTTACAGCACAGCTTAAAAGCAGCCTGCCTCCTTTGTGTTTCACAGCATTCTCAGCTTTGGACATAGCTATGTCTTCAGGCATCAAATACTGCTGGCAATTTCTCAAATTAATTTTTGAGACTATGCCAAATAGCCAAAGTAAATATTTCATAAAAAATGAGAAAAATGTGTCAGACCTTCCTTGTTTAAATCAAAACTGTTCATAAAATTCCTGTATTTACCGAAGAAAAAGCCGACGATTTCATCTTTCAATAACTCTACATGATACGTTGGGGGGGGGAGGTCTTGTTTTTTTTTTTTATTTATTTTTTAAATTGCATTGTACAGTGACAAATTTCCCTGGTTTTGTTAAACAAAATACCAAACAGTCAGAATGGATGTTGAGGGGTTTAACTCATCATTAGTTTGTGTCCCCACCACCCCCAATCACTTACACCAGCATTGCATGTCAGACTGCCACAGGGAAAATCAAAAGGGCATATTATGTTAATAAGCATGTCTAGATTCTACATACTCAAGGTGCTGTCACAGTCTCTGAACACAAAATTACATCTGCCTTTGAAACCCCCTGCGGAAGTGAATAGAGGACAAGTAATCAGCAGTGCCGTTGTTGTTCCAAACAGAGTTTATATGGTGTACATATCCATCATTTTATGTTTCGGCTGGGTTTTTTTAAATGTGAAATGTTATTGCACAATCCTATATACTTCAAAACTATGATAATGTGGTCATTTACACCAAAAAGCCCATTTGAAAGACATGTTATACTTAGAAAAATAGCCACCATTCAAAAGCATTCAGATATGTACACAAGACAGCAGTTTAAATCAATAACTGAAAAAAAATATTTCACCGAAACTGGCTTTAAAAAAGAAAATAACAAAAAAACCCACAATAAAACCCAAAGCACAGCAACAAAACCAAAATGCCACGTGAAGTTTCTAAACAAGCAATACGGAATACAACTCCATGTTATTCACAGGATACAGCTCTAGGAAGAGGATGTATTTTGGCTTATTAACGTAGCATTGAAGCTTAAACCTCTTGAAATGTTCCCATAAAGACTTACAAAATCTCTTTTAATGAATGCCTTAAGTTTGCCTTTTCTAGTAGCACCAGCATATCAAAATGACTATGGTTACATTCTGAAGCTGCCAGTCAGAATGCCAACAATGCAGCCTGCGCCTTGAAATATGTCTGGAAACCAGACTCGTGCTTAATTCTTAACCGGGAATTTTAGCAGCTTGTGTGATCTGGGAGATTGTAATATTCTTTCAACAATGGTAATGAAAGAGGTTTGAAGTATTTTTTTTCAGAGGTATTTCAACATGGTTCTTATTCCGTGCTCAGGGTTATATTTCAAAGTGTCAAGACCACACCGTCAGTGAGACTGTCTTTAAATTTGTAATTGTATGTCCCAACAGTCAGGTCTGTATTCAGAAATAATGCTTATGCAACACTGTACCTACAGAAAGCACTTCACACCTTCAAATTTTGTAACTAAAAGCAAAAAAGGCTAAAAAACCTACACCAATTCATTTTCATTTGCTACTACATGAGACTTAGTTGTCTTATCCAAGCACTGTATTTGTAGAACCAACCTAGGCAAAGAACAGATACCAGCTACACCTGCATGTGTGTCAATTCTGGCTTCTTTACAGTGAGATAACTAAGCGCAAAGAAGGCTGAGCATAGTTAGCAAAAAACTTTGAATCCATCACATAAAGTAAAAGTGTAGAAGCAAAAAAATCAGATTGGAAATGATCATAAAAAGCAGGTCTGTAAGGTAAAGGTCTGAAAACCATGTACGTGGAATGGACAAAGAGCAATGCTGTGGCACAGAATCACAGAAAGAAAAGAAATCCCATGCAACGCAGAAGCGCAAAGAGAGAAACAAAGTGAAGACGCACAGGAATGGAGACGTGGGGTGCAGTAAGAACAGCTTCGGTGTTTAAACACAATGTTTATTTAGGCCTCAGCAATCTTAAGTGAATGCACGTGCAACAAATACTAAGATCACATCACTGTTACCATCAAAATGATCCTATACGCGCTCCAGAAATAGTCTCTATTCTTGTCCTAGAGGTTCAACGTAAAAGCCAGTGTAAGTAACAGCTGCACTACAGGAGGGTGGCAAGCAAAGCCATGCCGAAAGCGAGCCGGGGCTTACTGCCCGTCACCCGTGCTTGAGCAGGCAGGCAGGGAAAGGGGAAGCCGAACTGAAGAAAGCGACCGCGCTCCAGGCAGACGGGCGCGCGCACCGGGCAGCTCCTGCCACCTACTAAAGGTGCCATCGGAACCGGGAGCAGCCGCCTCGCTCCAGGCTGGGCAGGGCCAGAGGCCGCCCCGTCTTGGCCCGGGTTTTGCCGGCGGCGCTTCCTCTTTCGGGACCTGGGAGCTGCC